AAAAAAAAAAAAAAACCCAAACCAAAAAAACTGAATGAGGGCAATGGTGTGCATGTTATTCTAGTATTCAGGAGGCTGAGACAAGAGGGCCTAAAGTTCAAGGGCAGTCTCCTTGACCTTGCTGCTAAATAAAATAAATGAATAAAAATCTAAACTATTGTTATGCTGGGAGTGTAGCTCAGTGGTAGATTATTTACTTAGCATGAAGGCTCTGGGTTTGATCCTCAGTATCCTCCCATAATAAAGTTAAAAATAGAGTTACTGAAAGTAATTTTTCTAGAAGACTCATTGTATTTCAATTTCTTTTGTTTTTCTTAAGACACACAGACTATGGCTATAATAAATTCAAGTCTAAAATGTAGAGAAAATAACCTGAGCTTTGCTCTCAATTAGATATAGGACATATGTAACTTCAAAAACAAACCTGTAAAGCTGGCATCACTGGCTCATGTCTGTAATCCTAGCTACTCAGGAGGCCAGAGATTTGAGGATCAAGGTTAAAAGCCAGCATACACAGCAGTCTGTGAGACCCTTGTCTCCAATAAACCACCCAAAAGCCAGAAACAGCTTTAGCTCAAATGGCAGAGCTCCAGCCTTGAAAGAAAAAGCTCAGGGACAGCACACAGTCCCTGACCTGAGTTCGAGCCCTAGTACTGGTACAAAAACAAGCAAACAGAAAACACATGAAAAAGTGTCTTTGTTATGATTGTATTAAGCTCTGTCACGAGGAGATAGCACTACTCAGACTGTTGCACACTGAACAAGGTTTAGATAATTGTCTTATCTAAAAAAGATGTTTTATAGATCATAGAGTAAGCAACACAATAATATAAAAATATACCAAGAAATATACACAATTTAATGTCTATCAACTGAGCTTGGTTCCAGGAGTGGGAACCCTTTTTCTGCCAAGGACTATGTAGATATTTGTAACATCATACCTGGGCCATACAAATTTATCAATAGAGGCAGATGGGTTTTGGGCAGCTGACAAGAAGCATGAGTCTGTCCCATCATACCAAATAACTTATACAGTCCACGAAGGCTCTTCACACCTTAAATAAATCATGGTATAGCCAGAGAAAAGAATGCTATAAAGTCATTACAAAGGATAAAAGAACAATGAAATGAAAATGCTCAATAGTTTTTTTTTTTTTTAATGCAGAACAAACTAGAAAAACACTGATCAAAATGTTAACTGTTCCTATATATTTGGGCTGGGATGAATTCAGCCTGCTCTGGAAAAAATTTTAAATGTTTTTCCTATGTACTTAAAGTTTTCATAATAAAACAATTTCCCTTCGAATATGATAAAACCAAAATTATTATTATCATTATCACCATCATTATCATTATTATTTCATTTTGTGCCTGGATGCAGTCCCTGAGCTTATTTTGCTTAAGGCTAGCAGTCAACCACTTGAGCCAGAGCTCTACTTTCAGGTTCTTTTGGCTATTATATTAGAGATAAAGAGTCTCAGCCTCTTGAGCAGCTAGGATTATAGGTGTGAGCCACTGGCACTCATCAATAATTTTTTTTTTTTTTGCTGGTCATGGGGCCTGAACTCTGGGCCTGGGCGCTGTCCCTCAGCTCTTCAGCTCAAGGCTAGCGCTCTACCACTTGAGCCACAGCGCCACTTCTAGCTTTTTCTGTTTATGTGGTACTGAGGAATCGAACCCAGGGCCTCATGCATGCAAAGCAAGCACTCTACCACTGAGTCACCTTCCCAGCCCCCAAATTTATTTTAAGTAGTAGATTTTTTCTGGTCCACTACATTTATACACGCAAATATTTTTATACTTTTTCTTTTAGATAGGGTCTTGCCATGTAGCCCAGGATGGCATCATTGAATTCATGATCCTTATACCTCAGCCTCCAGAACGCATCAATTACATGTGCCATCATGCCCAGTTTATTTTATTATAGCTTAATAAATTAAAAAAATAAAAATAGTGGCTGGGAGTATAACATTAATATAAATTTGAGTATAATTTCCCCAAAGCACTTAGAAGTTGGTAAAATCTCTCCACTGTGAAATGGAATTGAAAAGGAAAAGTAACACAATGTCTAACACAGTCATAGTCTAAGAATGATTAATTTGATTTTCAAATATGGAGAGAATAAAAATGTTCAAATATGTTTGCATTGTCATATTTATGATTTTAAAAGCTATAATTATAGGCCCAACAATAACAAGATGAAAAGTAATATAGATAAATGCAAAATCTTACCTGTAAATTTAATAAAAGACATTATGTAATTATATCTGGCATAACAGCAAATGAAGTTTTGAGTTACAATAAATAGATATGTGAATGAGATAGATGAGCAAGAGTGTCATTGGGAACTGTTGGTGAGACAGAATTTATCAAGAGTGGGCTGGGAAGTTGGCTCAGTGGTAGAGCGCTTGCCTTGCATGCCTGAGGCCCTGGGTTCAATTCCTCAGCACCACATAAGCAAAAAGAAAAAAGCTGGAAGTGGTGCTGTGACTCAAGTGGTAGAGCGCTAGCCTTGAGCTGAAGAGCTGAGGGACAGAGTTCAGGCCCCACGACCGGACCCCCCCTCC